ATAAATATAATAGATACTATAATATATTAAATATTATATATATATATAAATATTTTATTATATTTATATAATTTATTATACAATTATAATAATTCTTTTTATTTAATATATAATAAATTAATAAATAATTAATAATAATGTATATAAAAGAAACCTGTATTAAATTTTTAATGAACACACATCATTTTTTTCTTTTTTAAAATAGAACAATTCTATCGATAGAAATAATTTAAAGAATTATCATATTTCATAGTTATTGTTTGAAACATTGTATAATAACTGTAAATAATTATAATCATTGATTCGTTATCAGTCATCTTTTTATATATATAGGAAGTAATTATCAACGCTGTTATTGAATAATCGAAAATAGTATTATATCTTGTGCATGGTTTATTCGAACATCAAAATGAATGAATTATTCGTCTGGTTCGATAAGTGCTACAATGTATCCATCATCAATGAGGAAAAGGGTGGGAAAAGGGAGGAGAGGGAGGGGAAGGGCTTTAATCAAGCGTATCAATTGGATCGTTCATGAAGGGAGGATAGTGGAATTTAATTAAATTCGACAATTTATGGAAGAATTTATAAGATCATATTTTGGGTTGGTTTTAAATGAGAGAGAAAGAGAGAGTGTTATCATAGTCATTTGATTCAGATCTATACGATTGATGTATATAACACATAAATGAGAAATAATAGTAATAGTACAATTATAATATATGTGCCCATAATAATGAAAGTGGTCTAATGGTAAGTCAAAATTCAAAAAAAAAAAAAAAATGGGTTATGGGTTTTTTAAAAAATGGTTATCAGTTTTTTTACACGTTAAATTAAATTAATTCAATTTAATGTTAAGAATATTGTTAAAAATAAATTGTTAGATAGTTTTTGTTATTTTAAATATTAATTTAAAATAATATTTATATTCCTAATTAAATAATAATTGGTATTTTAAATTATAATTCTATATAATTATAGAATTCATATAGTATTCAAATCGTAACATCTTTAAATATAACAAAAGACATATAACTTAAAACACTTTCATAATTATGTTCACATATATAAAACACAAATAGATATAAAAAGCAAAAAAAACATTAATAAAAAGTAAACGATATTTTTACTCACGTAAATAATATAACATCCAACCAATGTGGCAGAAAAAAAAAAGAAAACAAATCGACACAAAAGAATTAATTCGATGATTCCAAGAAACTTTTAAAATGATAAATTTTTTAGTATTAACACTAATTCTTTCAATTTTTTTTTTTTTTTTAATTAAAATAATTATCAATGATGATAAAGTAAGTAAATAAAAATAATATGAGTAATTCAAAATGACAGATGAATATTCTTCAGTAGCTGAAGTCTTACTAAACGACTATGACTTTCGTTCAGAGTTTGTAAGCTGGAAACCTTCTACGAGAGTGAGCAGAAGAAGAAGAAGAAGAAGGTATAAACCAATGGAAAAAGAGAAAGAGAGAGAAAGAAAGGGAGAGAGAGAGAGAGGATATCCTATCACACCACGATACTAACTAACAAAGGTAAAATCTTTAGGAAAGATACGACTCCTCACCTGTTCTACCTTTGTTCGAGAACTTCATATATAATACATACTTTCACTCCTCTTTAAGAAAACCTTCCTCCACCTTTCCTCAGGGATGACGGGAAAAGTGTAACCTTCTTTTCTTTTTTCTTTTTATTGGAATTTTCATTCTAACAAAATCCTATTTTTTTTTTTTCAATTTATAATAATAATTATATTATTATTATTAAAAAATAATATAAAATAATAGGTACCACTACTATACACATATTGCATATTACTAATATATATCATATTTTAATATTATATATATATTAAATATAATATATTAAACATAATAAAATAAATTATTATTACTAATATACAATATTGTAATATTTTACTTTGTATATTAGTAATACTTTATTATTAAATAATTTATTTTGTTTTATATAAATAATTAAAAGAATAGGTACCACTACTATACAAATATTGCATATGACAACTCACATTCAAATATTTATTATTGTATATTAATAATATAATATTTTATAACTAAATTAATTTCTAATTTTATAATCTCTTATTTGTTTACGATTGAGTGAGTGTCTATATATGTTATATAAATAAATAAATAAATAAATAAATAAAAAATACTTATCTAATTAAACTTAGGGTTAAACTAAGACTTAAGAAAATAAAAAAGAAAAATAAAAAACAAAAAATTAGAAAACGTATAAAGGTTAGTTAATTAATTGCTTTATTCCAAATATATAAACTAGTTAGATACTTATACGTGACACTTGTTAGATATTAGCATAAATTTGAAACCGGTTATCACTATTCTACCTGTTAGTATAAACTCTTTTTGCTATGTTATGCAACACTTAACGAAAAACCTGTCTAGAATAATTAATTATTGTTATTTCTTAACATTTCAAATATATTTATCCAATTTCAAATATATATAAAAATAAAAACTTTATACACAATTACATTTCTTTTATTTTCTTGTTTGTTTACATCTTTAGAATGATTATATCTATCCTGATGTAATAATTTAGTTTTTTTTTTTTTTTATGAGAAAATTTGGAATTTTATTATGTCGGTGGATAAAAATAAATGGCTGCAAACAGAAAAAAAAAATAAAAAGAAATGAAAAAAGCTCGTATAAAATATAAAGATCGTTTGTGTTGTATTCACGTAACGGTATAATCGTGATTATGATGACATCACTTTCCAAGATCGTAGAGTGATATCATTTTGATCATAAAAAGTCAATCGTTTGTTTACTCGTGTTTAACTCGAAGAAAAAAAAGTAAAAAAAAAAAGAAAAGAGAAGTCATTAATTTGATACTTAAAAGAAACAATTTATCATCTTTATCTCATAAAAAAAAAAAGATATAATCTGTAGTAGATATATCAATAATATTAATAATCAAGGAATATAATAATAATTCAATATAAATGTGTAATAAAAATGATGAATTAAATATGAATTCATTAAAATGATCAAAAAATTATTTATTTATCATTAATTATATATATAATATTATTGTGTTATTAATATATATTATATTAATGTATTATTATGTTAATGTGTATTAATAGCGAGTGCTTTAAAGTTAATATTATATAATAACTAATTATAATAAATAATTATATAATATAATATTATATAATATTAATATAATATATAATATAACATATAATTTAAATATAATATAAAAAATATTAAAATAATATAATATAGATATAATATTGTATGTTATAATGTACAAGTAATATTACATTAATGTGTATTAATATCACATAAAAGTTAATATAATATATAATATAAATGTATTATATAAATATAATAGAAAAAAATATATAAAATAAATTATATATATAAAACTATGAGAGAATATAATATTAATTATGATAAGTTTGTAAAGTGTTTCGCGAATAATTTTTCTTGACGATAAATAATAAAAAGAAAAACAATATGTTTAATGGAAAATTAATGACCATTGGTATATATTTATGCGAACGAGGTCATTGATTATAATTGGATCGAGTTGAGAGTAGGAAGAAAAGAAGAAGGGCAGAATGAAAGTTTAATTTCTCTATCCTTTTTCTTTCTCTTTTTCTTTCTCTTTTTCTCTTATTTGACTTTGACGTTATTCGAATGTGTATCATACAATTGAGCATGATAGCAATCTCATTCGTGGTCTCATACTATTTGATTCGATTCCAACATTCCAACGATGTTCTTGGTGCATAGATATTTCCTTCGTCCTTGAACTACTTATGCTTATTATTCATTATTCTATTGAATGATATTCGTTAGATTATTCATTTGTTTTATACACGTAGGTTATGCATTTTCTATTGGATAATGAGAATTACTAAATGAAGGATTAATATCTTTTAAGTGAATTCGTTTAAACGTCAAATTCAATAATCTGTGCATTATAGGTAAACAGGATTATCAATTTAATTGGGCATAAATATATTATGTTAATTTAGGTATATATACTTTTGAATTAATATATTTAAAAAAAAAATAAGATTTATGATAATATTATTTAATTTATTTGAAATTATGTTTATTTAGTTTAAATTATATAGTATTTGTAATGTAAAATTAATAGAGAAAATAATAATAATATAATATAATTTTCAATTAGCATATTTATATGTTAATTAAAGTGTACGTTTGAATTAATATATAAAATTATTAGAGTAATATTACAATATTAGTTTAGTTTGTAATATTATTTAAAAAAATATATATATATTATTTACGTACTACGTAATAGTAGTAGTAATAGTAGTAGTTTGTACTAACTATACCTACATATATACAGTACATATTACATATACACACTGTTCTGTGTCATATCTTTTTCTCTTTGATAGCAACCTTTCGTACGCAGCTGGTATGCTTTATTTTTTCATCACGTTTATATAGCATCAATATTATTATTGGCCACTGCGATGAATCTCTTTTGCTAAATCGTGAATTTTGCGCCACGCGCTTTTTTTTCGGTACGTTGAAAATTGTTCAGTGTGAGTTAGTTTTTCGTTCTGGTTAAAACAAAAAAAAATTGTATATATAGTATATATGTATTTAATTCTTTTCTTTTTTTTTGAATGTTATACGATTCGTATATGGGTCAGTCTTGTTTTTATCAGAAAGGTTGGAAAGGTGGGGTTATGTACCGACAACCCGTATATGGGTTACTGATAACGAAAGGATTAACACTTTTATTTATCCTATGTTTATTTTCAGTTAGCTAAGGTTATTTTATTTGAATTTAATTTTTTTTTTCATTAATTTAATTTATATTTAATTTAATTTAATTTAATATTAATGAATTTTGTAATTCCTTTATAATCTTTCATATTGTTTATTATTCGATGAAAATTAATTATGATAATTTAATATTTTAATAATTATAAATTAAAATGATTATAATTAAATGATAATAAATACAATTAAATTAATAAATTATATTTTTCCTATATAATATTTCATATTATGAATTAATTCGTTCGTTTGACAAAAATAAATTCCAACAATTTAACTTTACAATAATTATAAATTAAATATAATTATAATTTGATTATACTAAATAACAAAATATAATTAATAAACTTTACTCTTATTCTTTTATAATTTATACAAATTAAAACCCTTTTTTAGTTGAACAAAAATAAATTCTGACAAATGATAAAAACACCAAATTATAAACTCAATACTTTTTGCAAAAAGATTAACAAACGTAAAATAATTTTATCTTTAAAATAGGAAACGAATCAGAAAAAGTAGTAGTAGAAGAAGAAGAAGAAGAAGAAGAAGAAGAAGAAAAAGTAGAGACAAAGAACGTGTTATAAATCGAAAATGGATGCTTTCATTTAACACAAGCATGGATAAATAGAACATGAAATTTGCTTATACTATAGTTTGACAGGGGCATTGAGTGTTTCTAGATTTATCGTTTTAAAAAGTTTCTAAAGTAGAATCAGAGCTTTGCGTTTAATTTAAGACTACGAAAAGTGGATTTTGTAGATTTAAATTTCGACACCCCTTAATTTTCTTCCCTCTTCATTTACCCCCTTTCTCTCTCTCTCTCTCTCTCTCTTATCTATTTCATAAATAAACATTTGAAAATTATTTATGATGTTTCTATTTAAAAGAACTCGTATTAAACGTAGAAAGGATAGGAAAGATACGTAAAATACGTTGTTGAATTAGATTTTGAAAACAACCGATGTAGAAAACATCGCTGACAACTAAACCACCCACCCATTTATCCATCCATCCATCCATCCATCCCCGAACGTCTAAAATCGGAAATCGTAAAGCGTTCAGGGATTTTCATAGTTCTCACAATAGAATCATGTTTTAGGAATATCATCGAATTCAACTGGATGCTCGAAACGATGTCGTTTACCTCGGTTCTCGTACGAGTTTCTACCCGTGGTTTATGTTGCATTTAACGCACGTTCACACTTCTATATATATGTATATATATGAATATATAGTACGTAAAATATGGTATATAATGTATATGCATGCTAGGTAAAATGTATATACAATACGTAAAGCCGAGTAGACGATTTTGGAACGGATATTCATAGAAACGTTTCGATCTAAAACTATATTTTAATAGTTATTTGCTATTTGCTATTTGCGATTTGCAATACGGTTATAATATATTTTCTTATTGGATATGTGATTTATTATGCGTTTCATTTATTAACGTATTTATATTAATATATTGAATATTTGTTTATTAAATGGGAGTATAATAAAAAGAAAAAGAAAAATATTATATATATATATAATAGTTTTGTCAATTTGGCGCAATATTTGTTTTAATATTAGAAAATGATTAATAATTATTTGTATATATTTAAATTGACGCAACATATTAATTTTAATAAAAAAGAAATATATATATATATAGTAAGTTATACGTATATATACTAATTTATATACTAATATAAAATTATTATATATTATAACTTTATACATACTAGTAATAGTATAACTATTACTACTAAACTACTTATACTAAACATATACTATATAATAATATAGTTTATTATTATAATAATATTATTATTATATAAAACAAAACAAAAATAAATGAAAAAGAAACAAAAAAGTAGTTAAATTAAAAAAAAATTTAATACAATTTTATAATGCATTACATTTAATATATATATATATATATAAAAAAAACCCTTTACATTATTCATTTTAATTCTTTTAAAATAAAAAATAAAAAATAAAAGTAATTTAGTTAAAAAAAATAAAAAAACAAATTTATAAGATATTATTTTTAATATAAAAACTAAACACACATACACATACACCCACACACCTGGATAATAAAACGTAGTCAGGTTAAATGATTAATAACACATGCCAGCGTTTAGTTATCTATATGTTAGAAAACATATATATATATATATATAGAAATAAGATAATAAATCATTCTAAAGAATATATAGTAAGACATTGTAGGTAATATATATATATATAGATATATATATGGAACTAATAACAGAGGTACAACTGTTAACATGATTTAATCGTTTAAGAAAATGAAACAACGCATAGAATCGATGATGATAGAAAGAGTGAAAGAAATAGAGAAAAAAGTGAAGGAGGGGGGGGACAACAGGTGTAGTTTCTCGGTTAAGTTTCTTCTCTATGCCAAATAATAAACGTTTATTTGACTAGAAGATATGGCAATGTGAAATGTGATTATTTGAAAAGATTACGCCTACGTTTAAACTTCAAAATCCAAAGATTAAATTAATGAGATTATAATAGTGACAGTCTTGTCGTGTACCATCCCCACCCTTTTCCAACTCTTCCCCACCCTAAACGTAATAAAACATAAATCATTTCATTTGTTGCATCTGGTTTATTTGAGATAATAATATCTAAACAAAATTTAAAATGAAATAGTTTTTAAATAATTTAATTTAAAATTTTAAATATTTTAATCTTAAAATATGAATTAATAATGAAGGGATTTAATAAAATTGATTATATTTCAAAATTATATAAAATATTATATATTCGTATAACTTAATTTATTATTTTCATAGAAAAATGAAGAGATTTATTTTAGAAAATAAATTCCTTAAATATTATGATATAATAACAAATAATTTTGAAATGGGAATATCAAGGAGTAAAAATAAAACAAATATAAAAAAATGATATGCATCATTACATTGCCTACAAAAAACAGTATCAATTTCTGCAATTTCATTTTTTTCAAATATCTACCATTTACGAGATAAACACTGGCTAGTAAATCTATGAACACCCTGGATGTGTATATATGTATGATTGATTAATGTTTCTCAGGATAGTTGTAAAGCTACGCCCAGACGTCCTTGTCAGCTTATACAAATCGTACTTGAAGGTGGGGATTCTTAACAGAGGCTAAAAAACGGCTCGATTGATCCTCATCGATAAAGACAAGGGTTGGGAACCCCAAGTGTCTCCTTTCTATAGATCGTTGAGCTTGCTGAATTCCCTCGGTAAGCTCTTCGAAATTGCTCTAATTCGATTTGCTCAAAACCTGGATCCAACAGGTTGTACGGACGGCCCGGGGCCTTAACGATAGACAATACGGATTCAGAAAGGGACTATCGACGATGGGCACGATCAAAAGTATCGTGGCTGCGTTCGACAGAGCACAGACTAAACCCCACAAAGGAAGGAAGGCCAGTAGTGCTCCTGACAACACTAGACGTACGAAACGTTTTTTACTCGGCGAGGTGGGCGAACAGCGTGCAGGTGTTCTCGATATCTGGAACGGACTTGTGAATGGATGCACGAACACGGACTGGAGTTAGCTGTACATAAGACAGAACTACTCTACCTGACAAGGCGACGAATAGACATGACGGCTCCCATGATGGTGGGTGCGAACCAATTGCTACCTACTGATTTACTACTTTTTTTGCTACCTACGAAACTACTGATGGTGGTTACCCACTCGATCCTCCTCTACGGGGCCGAGATATGGGGGGACACGATGCGGATTAAGAAATATCGGCTATAAGATATATCAAAAATAGAAAAAATTTTGTAAAGTATGAGATATTTAGTAATAACCATAAAATTATTCTAATTCTATTGTAATAATTTTATTAATTAATTAAGAAAGAAAATAAAAAATATCGTTACTTAAATCAGAAGATATTGACAAATAAAGCTTTGTTCAACAAAAATGAAATATACGCATTATTTTTCACAATATTTAAATAAATATTTGATTAAAACGAAGTAGATTTCTTTCACAACGAAATGTCATCGTAAATACGCAAGGAAGATTTTGCAAGACGTAAAGAAATCAAAATAATAATATACATAAAAATAATAATAATAATAATAATGATTATATATCTGCGCAAAAAGAAAAATTGAAGATTTTATTTCTCGGTAGTTAGAATACAACGTCAGTTGAAAAATAAGAAAAATAATAATGAAATAGTTTGAAGATAAAAGAAGAAGAATAAGAAGAGAAAGGATAGATACGAATGTAAAGATGATTTTCTTGGCATACCAATGGAAACTGAGGGAAACATGTACAAGGTATATTAACCGTCTCTCTGCGATTACTCATTCGCGTACGTTTACGATTTTCATGGCTGTTTATCACGTTTTAAGTTGGAAAAGCAAATCGGCCTTGGGTCCTGGCAACTGGCCTATAAATGCACAGAGGGGTCTATCTTTCTAACTTCTAAAAACGTTCTTAGCAAACATTTCGAATCAAATGTCTCGATCTAGTTATTAGTAACATTTTTCTCCCTACATTTTTTCACCCTTTAATTTTTTGTTTCCAAAAACTTTTCTATCCTTTAAACTTTGTCTCAATAGATTTTTTCTCTCACTGGATTTTTTTCTCCCTATATCTTCCCTATTTTTTGACTTATAAGAATTATTTGGTTTCAGTGTTTTGTTTCGATGTTTGGATTTATTTTTCTTTTCTCATTTTTTTTTTTTTTTTAAATTTATTTTATTCGATAAGTTTAATAATAAAAGAGACAAGGAATTTTTGTTATATTATCAAATAGAACTAGATTGAATCGTTTCAGTATTATGAGTATGTCACGTTGGTCGGTCAGTCGTTAAAACTGACTACTCGAAAACGCATTAAATTCGTCATACTATAGTCTAGACTATATCGTACGAAACGAGCGATACTTAACTTCAACTAAAAGGGTATATTATATGCCTTCTGCAGAATAATACTACGAGTTATTAGAGAAGTGTGGTATAGTCGTTACAAAATAATAGACAATAATTAATCCCAATTAAAAATGTTAATAACCATTATATTAATCTCATCATTTATTTTAGTAACTACACAAAATTCTAAAAGTATTTCTAATTATTAAAAATATAAAGTTTTAAAAATTATTATTATAAATATATAATAAATTTTTATATAAAATATAAATATTTATTTATTTAATCAATTTTTATTTAACATTGTTCTAATCATTAAAGGGCTTCTAAAAAAGGGTCAAACATATTCTCATGGGATTTAGATTATTAGTTTTCTTTTCGTTTTCTGATCTTTTAACTTTTTTTTTTCAACTATACAAAAGGGGTTGTTGAAAAAATGAATTCCCAAGTTTATAATTTAGGAATTTTTGGTATCAAAACTAAGTACGATCTTCTCCTAAACCTTTTCACCAGACATTTAATTTTGAGTATTCGAATATTCGATACTCTAAAACTCACCTCACGTCTAGTTGTAGTTTTACGAGTAGTCGTCGTCGTCCTAGTCATCGAAGAAATATTCTCATGGGGAGAATCCCAATCCTGGAATATCTCCGTGGTCGCCATGATGACTTTTTTTCTTTCTCTTTTTTTTCTTTCTTTTATGTAGAAATCTTTGTCTCTACTCGTAAAGTTCCACTTCGAACTTGTATCGATTATTATTATTTGACTTATTTTACAATATTTAATTGATAACCGTTCTTTCACTGTCTAGTGTTTTTTTTGTTGTTCTTTTCACTAAAATTCACGACGACGTACACTTAACAACAAATTATTCACTTATTGTTAGTTTTTAAAGAACTTTTGTCTTATTTTTAATAACTTTTCTTGTTAGAATATAATTTTTATGATAATATTATAGTCCTTGTCCTTCCTTATTCACAAATTGAACATATTAATTAGATTTAAAGGTGGATAAGGGATGGGAAACAAAGAAACAAAGAAACAAAAACAAAAACCATTAAATTCAAATCATCTAATTTGAATTATTTAACGTGATATTTTACTAAACTATTATTTTATAAATGAAATAAAAATTATATTGAACAAAATCATTAAAATGTAATCAATTAATTAATAAAAAAATAAAACAAAGAAAATGAATGATAAAGTACAATAAATCTTTGTAAATGATTTATCAAAAAAAAAAAAACTTTCAAAAAATCTTTTTCCAAATCTTATTCTCACGTTAGTCCCATAAACGTTATTTTGTAGAAATCAAAGAAAATTGTTACAAAAATTGTTAACCAAAGAAACAAACAAACATAAAACAAAATTAAGACACAACAAGAACTAACTCAAACGTAATTCTCTTTCTCTCAAGTTGAAAATAATTTAGGATGAACGAAAATTCCTGTGATAAAATGGAAGAGAACAAAAACCAAAAAAAAAAAAAACAAAAACAAAAAACAAGAGAAAAACTATTAAATAATAAAATAAACGATAATAAAAACAATAATGATCGAAACTACGTGATGAAGGAGAGTTGGAGGGGAGGAGGAGGAGGAGGTAAGGGGAGGGTTGTAAGGAGGAAAATAAATGACAAAAAAATATAATTTAATTGTAATGATGGTGGTAAAATGGGGTTGAAGATGGAATAGAAAAAAAAAAATAAATAAATAAAAAAAAAAAAATGAAGGAAAAGTAGAAATTAGAAAAAATTCGAAAAAGCACGCTTATAAAAGAGTAAAGTGTATGCGTGATTGTAGGTGGACCACGCGCGACTGAAGCTTTTCGCGATACTGTAAGCTCTTCCTCTCACTCTCTCTCTCTCTCTCTCTCTTTCTATCTCTTTCTCTCTCTTTCTTTCTTATTTTCTATCTCGGTCTCTACCTAGTGTGTCTTTTCTCTTTCCGTCGAGTAACCGATTCCAGAAATACGGAGAAATATGTATAATTAGGACGGTACGAGTAGAGAGGATGACGAAGACGAGATTATACTTCTGTCTCAAGCTAAATCCTTCTTCTTCTTCTTTCATCTGCTTCTTCTTTCTTCTTCTTCTTCTTCTTCTTCTTCTTCTACTTCTTCTACTTCTTCTTAGTACAGATAATTATACTTGTGTTTTCTCATGTGTTTTATATTTATTTTTATTTTTTTCTATATTTTCTTATCTTACATTTGTGTGTATTAATTTTGTTAATTATTTCAGCAATTTTTTTGATGTATAATTAAAAAGGAAAAGACTCGTATATTACAAAATATTACAATGTTTTTTTTTTTTTTTTACTGTTAAGTGGTTTCTAACGATATCACAAATAATAATAATAATATCGATTGTTTTATTAAATTTAAAAATTTCAATTTATATAGTTATAATAATAAATTAAATATTATAATACTAAATTGAATATATGTTAACTTTGTAATGTGTTAACTTTGGTAAATACCATTCTTATCTGAAGTTAAAATCGTCTGGTTTGGAAATGTTCCCAGTACCCATTAATTACATTTCTTTATATATTTAAACTTCATTAATAAGACAACGTCATAGCTGTTTGATTATTAAAGAAACGCAACAACCAGACGATTGCGTCAAAAGTTTGGACGCATCATGGTGACGTCAAAAACTTTTACAGGTGCACTACCATCAAATAGTTGGAAAATTTGGAAACATTTACGAACTTTGCTTTTACTTTCATTCGTTCATTTATTCATTCATTCATTCACTCATTCACTCATTCGTTCATTCCTTTTTTTTCAAGGTAGTCTATCATTTAGAAAAAAAGGGTCTAGGAGAAATTGTACCTTTCAATCGAAGGACAATAGAAAAAGGGTGAAAACGTTATCGTTTCGAGTTAACTCGTCTACGTCATCACGGATTTTAGGTTGTCCCTTTATGCATCGACCTCGTTCAATGCGTGGGTGGTTACGTAGATGTGTGTGTGTGTGTGTTTGTGTGCGTATATGCGTTAGCTTCTCGTTTATCTAAAATAAAGTTCGACAAAGAGTGGAAAAGATAGAAAGAGATAAAGCGACAGAAAGAGAGAGAGACAGAGAGAGACAGAGAGATGACGTGTGGATGGACGACGATTAAGTGGCGCTTACAAAATTTTTTCTTTTTTTTTTTTTCCAAAATAGAATTTAACTTCGAGGATGGATTAATAGATCGATTAATCAAAATTTTTTGACACAATACCGAATTTTATCTATGCCATGTAAAACAACGATATCATTTATGTAAATTACATTGTGAATATTGTATTAATTATTAGTAATAAATTATTTAATTAATGTATAATTAATTTCATCGAATGTAATCGAATTATTCTATATTATAATATATATATAGAATATTAAAGAATAATTCATTACGAATAATTATTAATATTTCTTTTATAAACAAATAATTATCGTAATTCCCTAGTCCTTCAAAAAGATTTAATATTTTTATTTTCCCCCTTCAATCTTGCAATTACAATTTTGACTACTCTGAAACATTCTTATCGGTTCTTTCTTGTAACAAGAATTGCAATCTACATTTTGGTCGATCGCAATTGTAATTTGCAAAAGCAAAACAGGACAGATATCGGATCCGTTTGTTTGTGAACAAGCAGAAATAATATTTGGCACGGGAATAGGTTGCATCCGTTTTCCCCGTTTATGCAAGACTTCAGGGAAAATCTTAATACTAGATGATATCTGTTGGCGATTGGTAAACTTGCTTTTTTGCTTTTGCTTTTGCTTTTGCTTTTATCCTTTACTTCCCGAACTTATTCGTATTCCGTGTATCAGACACTTAATATACTACCTTACTTATTTATACTAACATCTTGTTACATTATATTATCTATCTATCTCTTTTTCCCACTTTCCCTCACTCCACCATCTACAATCTTCCTACTTCTCTTTTTCTCTTTTATATATCGTATCTACTTGCTAGATTATAAATTACCGGTTAATTTATTATTTCCTAGCACAGTTGTGATGCAAAATAATCTTACAATATATTTTTGCCAATTATTATATTCGTTATATTTATTTTTTAAATTATATTTCTCCGCGTTTCTTTTTTCCTTTTTTTCTTTCTATTTTCAAATATAAATTTATAATATTTCATTTTAAATATGATTTATACTATATATCTAAATATAGGTTTATACTACTTAATTTTAAATATAAATTAATAATATTTTTAATTCTAAATATAAATTCCTTATATTTAATTTTAAATATAAACTTATAATATTTAATTATATCTAATTTTCTTTTTTATTTAATAATAAATTAAAAATCATTTTATCTGAATATTCTTGTTGTATTTTTATTATCTAAGTATTTTTTCAAATTTATTTTGATTTAATTGATTGATAAATTCATTGTTCGTTCATTTGTATAGTTTGTACGTTGTATTTTTGTATTTACCATTTAACTTTGCAACAGATTTGGATAAAACGATTTAAAATTTGATTGTCGAGTTAGAAGAGACACTCTAGGGATTTTCTTTTGTCTGTTAACGTCACTCCTTCCGTTTTAGTCTCTCTGTCTCTCTTTTGTGGTCTCTTTTTTTCCGAAATGTCAGACTCCTTTTAAAAGATACTCTCCTATTCTACTCTTCCGCGATTTTAGTCGTGGATGCACACGTGTCATTAATTTCCTACGCCCACCGCCAATTTTCGTTTGGCCTTTCTTTCCTCCTTGCTTCTCACCTCCCCATTCCATCCCTTCTCCCTTTTCCTCCCTCTACTTCCTATATTCATCACCGTTTCGTATAAAAACTCACTTTTGCATTGACCCAGGCCCGAATTACGAAATAGTGGAAAATTTTCTCTGGATTTTCGTAAGACGATGATGCTAAATGAAACTCACGTGGTTTTCGTCAAAATTAAATACCAAATGTTTGTATTAATTCTTATAATAAATGAGTAGATCATAATGATTTATATATATCATTTATATTTATCTATTTACATAAATGATCGAAGAAAATTTGTTTCTTGGCAAATGTTAAATGTGTTTACACCACGTGCTTTACACGTGGATTAATTTAATCCTCTGAGAAATAAAATTAATTCTATTTTATGTTAAAAAAAAAACATAATTTATTTAAATAAAAACGTTTTCTTTGTATTTAATTAATTATTCTTTTACAACAACAAAAATAGAACACAAAATTCGTATAAATTGTATTTCTATTGATTTTCATTACTAAATGATTTGATTTTCCTCAATATTATTTATTTAATTTAATATAAATATGTATATTGTTTAAGTCGATGAAATTATTATTAAAATTTGAATGAACAGATGGCGGCACCTCTTAGAAGAAACATTATAGTCGGCAGACCTAAAATCATCGAACTAAAGTCCAAACCATCCGTTAGATGGTGTTCAGTATATTGGTAGACTTTCAACTATTTATCTGTTGAGTTCAATGATTAAATGATATTTTAAATAAATCAATTTTATTCCAATACCAAAAAAAATATATACATATATATATCTTCTACATATTAATTTCAATCATTTAATTAAACTACATTCACACTACAACGAATGATAAACATTAATATAAAAAAAAAAA